ACGGGGAGGTTCACGTAGGTGGGTGTGCTGCTGCGCCGCCTCTCCAGCCCTGGGCTCTCAGCAGCCACAGGCCCTGGGGGTCCTGGAGAGGAGGGACGGTGAGTCCTCTGAGGTGCCCAGGGCTGTGCCCACCCAAGGACTGTCCAGCAAACAACTGCCCCTCCCACCATGGCCCAGCCCCTCCTCCAACCCCCCACCTCTCCTGGGTCTTGGACCCAGCCTGACTCCCCCATTTCCTGGACCGTCCACCTCTGGCTGGGCCCCCCCCATCCTGAGACTGGCCTCCATGGATCCCCGACACCAGCTCTCTGTGGGTCCCTCCACCCTCACTCTGTCCTCCCAGGCCTCCAAACCCCCCAACCCAGGCCAGGATCACGCCCCCGTCCTGTCCTCGCCCGACCTTCTCTGTGATGTCCCTCTAGGACCTCCTGCCTGCCACAGGCTCTCAGGACCCCTCTGGATAGGTGAGTCCCCGTGGGGACTTCTCCTGAGTACAGCTGGGACAGAGGGGACTCTCCGTGCCAGGCAGGGAGGGCTTGTGGTTGAGTCCCAAGTTAACAGGCTGCTGGGATGCACCCTGGCCCCTTCTCCACAGGCTAGCGTCCCACAGGAAGGACCCTGGGCCACAGAAGACCTGTCCCCAGGGTCCCTGTGGGGCAAGGACAGCCACATGGGATGGGGTGGACAAAGCGCCACTGAAGGGGGTGGGCAGATGAAGCCGTTCCCTCGCTCCGTTCCTGGAGGGCCAGTGTCCCAGAGGCACAGCCAGGCCCAGGACTCAGACCAAGGCAGGCCCTGCCCCAGAGCACAGCACCCCAGGCCCCGGATTCAGCTGGGGACTGCCAGCACCCGCAGTGGGCCTGCTTCTGAACCGCCTGCCCAGGAAAGGGGCCTGGCTCTGCCAGTCTCTGGCCAAGGGTGCTGGGCTGCCTGACCATGTCCCTGATACAGGCCCCCTGGCTCCTGCTGTCCACGAAGTGCCACCTGGAAGTCCACACGTGGGCCTGGCCCTCCTCCCGTGACTGCCCCCAGTGAGACTGGGTTGGATGTGCTGCCTGCTGGCTCCCAGGGGGAGGCTGCGGCAGAAACCCCAAATTCCCAAGCCACAGCCAATGGCCAGGACAGGGACGGGGCCCAGGTGGGTCAGGTTGACCACCTGTTTCCACCTGAGCAGCCAGGAGTGCTCGCCCCACCCGGCTCTGCCCAGGATCCCTGGGGACCTCTGCTGCAGCGGGACCCTCTCAGGACAAGACTCCTTTAGGAGGACGTGCAAGCTGTGCCCGCCCCCCGGCCCTTCCTCTTCCTGAGGCAGCCCACACCTGCGTTCCTGGAGGGGCGCAGCTCGGGGAAGGGCGCTTGCTCGACGCTGGAGAGCGAGCTCCCAGGAGCAGCCCCCAGCTGTCTCAGACGCAGCCTGCACTGAGCTGGGGCGGGACGGTGGCCTCCAGCGAGGACTGGACTCCCCACCACCCTGATGCAGCCCTGGGCCCGACAGCAAGGAAGAGACCCCACTCAGGCCCACCAAGGCTCCAGAGCAGAGAGCAGGAGGGCAGGCCCGGGGCAGACTGCCACGCTGTGTGCAGGGGCACCAGGGGCCTGAGCAGAGCCGAGCCGGGCCTCAGCCAGAAAGGGTGGCTTCTGCTCGTCATGGTGACCGCCTCATGGGAGTCCTGGCCGAGCAGACTGGTCCCCTGCTGGAGATCTGCTCCCCAGGGTGCAGGGAAAGTGCCCTGACACTCACACCCTGTCCTGGTCATGTGACATCAAGCGGCTGCACAGGACCTGAGACAGGAAGCTGGCTGGCTTGGCGGGGGCAGCTCAGTGTCCTTCGTCCTTGTCAAGCAAGGCCGGGCTGAGTGTTTCCAGTCTCAGAAAACCTGATCCAAGGTGAGGGGTTTCTGTAAACCCTCTGCATTTGTCGAGCGGGGACTCCATCTTGGGCACAAAAGTCTCCTCCTGGGACACCAGCAGCCATGGAGGGAGAGCCAGGGTCAGCTCGCTGCCTGCCTAGCCGAAGCCCTGTTTGCCCCCCGCCCCTGGCTTCGAGGACAGGCTGGGCCACACAGTCCCACAGCTGCCGCAGACCATCCCCACACCAGGGGCTGGACCCAGCCTTCCTTGGAACAAGGGCAGGTGGTCTGGAGAGGGAGACTGAGCTAAGGGGTGCAGGCTAAGAAGGGGTGCATAGCAGGAGGGCAAGGGGCCTGAGCGGACGCCTGGGCCTGTGGGCAGGTCTATTAGAGGCCAAGCCTGGTCTCAGAGCCTTTGAGGGCCCCAGAGCTGCCCTGCCCCTCACTAAGTCTCCAGGATACATGGCCTCCCCGGCAGGTCTCCCTTTCCCCTGGCAGCTGGTGACCCCTCGGGTCAGTGCTTCCCATCTGTTCTCTGTCTGCTGAGGGCTTAGGAACCAACTGCCCCAAGGCTGTGAGTCCCGAATTTCAGACCACGGTCCAGCTGCCCATGGGCTGCCCCAGCAGTTGCTGCTGAGAGATGCCCCTGCCATGCCCAGGGGCCACCTACCTGGGCTCCCCCACTGCCCCCTCCTGTGTGAGGACTCCCCCACTACCCACTTGCACCACGCTGCCCAGGGCCAGCCAGCCACATACTGCCCTGCCCACCAGGCCTGACTGTCCAGCTGGCCTGTCAGCTGCCCGTCTAAAGCCCGTTTCCCTCTCAGCAGGGCGCTGTGAGGAGCTGGACTCCAAAGCCAGGGGCCTACCTGGATGGGTCATCGTGGGTCCAGGGGGTGAGGCAGCCGCTCCCTAGACCAAAAAGAACACTGGTCAGTGTGTGCATCTGACTCCCTTCATCCTACCCCTGGGCCCCAAAACCAGGACAGAAACCCCAAGAGGGACAGGTCAGGGGGACTGGGCTGCCCACAGGGTAAACCAGCCTGGGGGGCAACTCCTTATCTTCCAGGCCCTGGGATCCAACTGCCCACTAGCCCTGACTGCCCTGCTGGGTGGCTCCAAGTGACAGCCAGCAGGGGAGCTGGAGGCCTCAGGCACTTGGGGACAGGGGCACTCTGAGCCGACTGGCCAGTATAGGACCCCCGGGGCAAATCCAGTCCCCACTGTGGCTGACGACTTAACTGGGACACATCAGCCATCTGGGGCGAGCAGCGCTGAACAGCTGCGGCACAGACGCGGGGTCCACAGCGGCCACACTGCACTCTGGCCTCAGCCTGTGGCCCTGCTCTCAAGAGCTCCTGGTCTAGAGAGCCACCTGGAGCCCCCAGTGACGTGAGCAGCCCCTGGATGGGCAGTGCATGACCAGGGTACAGGCAGACCTGGGAGGAGCTGTGGCAGGTGGACAGGTGAGGCAGGAGACCCACCGCACCGGACCCCACGTCCAGCTGCCGACACCCTGAGCCCTCTCGGTCCAGGACCCCAGCCTAGGTGACCAGAAAGATCCCATATCCCTAACCCTCTGATGGGCAACCCGGCAGGAGTGGGAGCTGGAAAGCAGGCCAAGGCACCCGGCGCTGGCCCAGGCCCATGAAGTGGGTGGTCCCAGACCCAGGCTGGAGCCATGCCCCTGAGCGAGCTGACTGGCCGACTGCACCGGCTGCTGTGGGCTGGGGCCTCAGGACGAGAGGCCGACACACACTAGCCTCTGAGGGCACCGTGATGCAGCCGCCGGCCACCTGCCCCCAGAGGCCCATCAACGGGCAGGACCGAGTCCTCAGCAGCACCCGCACATAGCATTCACTCGGGGGTCCAGTTCTGCAGGGTCAAGCCAGACCCTGGTGTGGGTGGAGCGCAATGGGGACAAGCACAGGCAGGTCACCTGCTCCCCACACCTGCAGCAGAGCAAGTGTGACTGGCAGGTGGCTCAGGAGACAGCGTCTGCCAATTGGATGTCCCCAGCCCACCCGTCACCCTCCCATGGGTGAGGAGCCAAGGCTGGTGGCTGGCTGCTGCTCAGCAGCGGGCAGAACCTTGGGCAGCTGAAGACCGGCCAGCCAGTCACCCAGGGACAGGGAGTGAATGAAGGCAAGGTTCCTGCTTCGTCCTGAGACCCCAGCCCTGCCCTGCAGGTCCCCGAGTCCTGGGAAGACTGAGGGACACTTGAAGGGGCACCTGGGTTCTCCTAGGCCACTCATCTCACAAGGTACCACAGCCCCCAAGGGCCTCCTTTGAGTGCCCTCCAGCCCAGCCCCCACCTGCCCAGGACCTTAATACAACTCAGGTCTCCTCAGACTAAGGGTGGACACGAGAGGCCCTGGCCAGACTCCAAACTCCCACTCCCTCCCTACGGCTGGCCGTGGGAGAGGGGGCTCAGGGGCCACAGTAGCCAGGACCAGGCTGTGGCAGAGAGGGCCTCACTTCCAGGGCCCCAGCTCCCCAGCCTGGGAGACCCATTTTTCTCTGCAGGAAGACCACCCTGGGTGCCTCCGGGCGACTCCTGTGACCTCCAGTGGACCCTCAGTGCAGCCCAGTGAGGCAGGCCCTGTCACCCCATCAGAGGAAGAGGAAACTGAGGCTCAGAGAGGTGCCGTGACTCGTGGGGCCACCAGCCAGCAGATGGTGTGTGTGGTCCGAGCTCAACCCCCACGCCTGTCCTTCCCAGGGGCCGCTGGGGTGAGCCCACTCCCCACGGCAGAGCAGGCTCGACAGAACGGGCAGGGGAGGCAGAGCCCCGAGGAGCCCCCACGCCAGACTCACAGGGCCCGGGAGGTCAGCAGCCTTCCTCACCTGGGTGCTGGGAGCCCCGTCCTGAGCCCGAGGGGCTGCGAGGACCCCACTGTGGTTCCCAGTGAACCTGCAGGAACGCGCCACACGGCACACAGCCGCACACCTTGCACACCCTCCACACACCCAGGCCCAGGCTGCCGGAAGCCCCCTCCCCGCCCGCTGCACATCCCTCGGGCCTCAGCTGCACTCTGAGGCTTGGGTTCCCTAGCGGCGGGGCGGGGAGGCGGGGAGGCTGGCCACACAGAACAGACGAGGCGGTAAGAAAAGAAAGTTTTATTTCCAGTCGGAGAACGTGTACAAACAGTGTCAGGTTTAAAAAAGCAGAAGAGCAACAACAGGTCAGCCGAAGAGGAGGTGAGAGCCAGGCTTCCAGGCAAGCTGCCCGAGGGTCCAGCCCGCTGCGGACGTGCAGGACACAGCCTCCAGGGTGTCCAGGACAGCGGGCACGGGCAGCCTGGCGTGGAAAGCGGAGCCGGGACCAGGAGCCACAGCACTGAGCCCAGACGGCCTGGGGCACCGCCACCCAGCCCTGACCACCAGCTTCCTGGTCCCAGCCAGAGGGCACAGGGGGCTTTTGTCCACGTTCTGAATTCATTTTAAATGTATACTTGTTGAATTATCCACTCGTTTGCTGACTTGTTTTGCGGTGCCCAGGGCCCTGCAGGTCGGGCAGGTGCTCTACCACTGAGCCACACCCCACTTCCCCTGGGGACTTTCAAAGGGACCCTCTGGAAGGCTGACCTCAAGAGCCTGCGCCGCCTGGAGGACTCAGGGCTCCACTCACCTCTGCCCTGCAGCCTTTGCCCGGAGCCCGGCCCTGGCCCCAGGGAGCAGAGGGGGCGGCCACAGACTCACACCCCAGAAGCCAAGGAGCCTCCTGAGCGTCAGTTTCCTCCCCGGGGCGGGACGTCATGCCCACCTGTGGGTGCTGCCAGGTAAATATGAGAAGTGACCACACGCCAACGGTGCCCAGAGAAGTTCCCCTGCAGAGACGGCTCCCGGGACTGGTGTCCCCAGTGCTGGGGGGCGATTTACAAGCAGGGTCTGTGCACTGCAGAGATGACCCGGAGTGGGAGGGAGCAGTGGTCATCCAGGAGTGAGCAGGGGGCCGGATGAGGTCAGTCCTCAGCAGCAGCCCTGGCCACTGGGCGCCAGCACCACCTAAAGCCCCAGTGCCCGATCCTCACTGGAAGCTGGGCCTGGGGGCTCTGCCGACCCCGCCCCGCCCCGCCAGAGCCTCGCTTTCTAGAACACACGGTCCAAGTTGGACCCTCCACGGGCAGCCAAAGCCCCTCCTGGGGGAGGACAGCGGGGACGCTGCCCACCCCACCCTCTCCACAGGTCCAGGGGCTTCTCAAAACGCGTCAGAGCGCTGCCTCTGCAGAGAGGCCCCCTCCGCCTCCTCCTGACCAGGGGCTAAGTCCAGCCCCTCACAGCCGCGGGCCGCCCTGCGGTCAGGGAGGGGGGTTTACCTTGAGTCCTCCACAGACTGGACATGCCGAAAAGAAAGCTGGAGGTGGCCCGGGGTGGGGCCCGCCTGCTTCCCAGGGCTCGCCGGGGGCTGGGCTGGGCAGTGTGGCCTCACTGCCTGGGGCCTCTGTCGCCTGTCCCCGCCGTCTTGTGCCCAGCCAGCCGGAAGGACACCCGGCCAACGCCTGACTGCCCAAGTCCGTGGTCGCGCCATGGTCGGGGCCACCCTGGGAGGCTGCGCTCGGGTCCCGGGGGGCCTGGCGCAGACTGCGGGGCGTGTCATAGTGGTGCCGCAGAGAGGTGGGCACCTGGTACTCCGCCACCCCGGGTGGGCAGGCACACAGGCTGGGCTCAGGAGCCCCTGCGGCCGGCGGCAGGCTGAGCAGCGAGCCGCACTCTTCGCCGCCCGCCCGCCACACGTCCAGGCTGCTGTCAGCGTAGGACGAGAAGCTGCCCGAGTAGGAGGAGTGGCTGCCCGTGGCGATGCCGCTGTCCGAGGAGCTCTGGCGGCCGACCTCCTGCAGCTGCCGCGGCCGCAACGGTTTCGGGGGCAGCCTTGAGGCACCCAGCGTGGCCTCCCCGGGGGCCTGGGCAGCCGCCAGCCCCGGCCCCTCCTGTGACGAGCCTGCCAAGGACGAGGACTGCTCCGGCCACGGGGTGAGCCTGCTGCTGGCGCTGGTGTCAGAGTGGCTGGCCTCGGAGGAGGAGCTGGACAGGCTGCGGTCGTCCCCTAAGACAGAGCAGGGCTCTGAGGTGCTGAAGGGCACTGGACAGTAGAAAGCAGCACCCAGCCTCCCTCCCCACACCCTCCCTAGAGCCCATGCCTCTGCCTGCCCCTGCTGGGCCAGAAGTCCCCTGAGGACAAGGACGTCCCTGGGACTCCCCCCCTGCTGCCCTCCTGCATGGCCAGGCCCCTGCCTCCCCTAGTCTCTGCCCCTGGGCAGCTGAATCCATCTTTGCATCCTCCCATCTCAGCTCAGCCAGGCTGACGTCCAGGGCTCCAGAGGGAGAACTCAGGGTGCCCCCCCGGGGAAGGGGGCAAGAGAGCTCATTACAACCCTGGGCTCCTGCTCAGGGGAGGCCTGGACAGGAGGGGACAGGCCCACTCTCCCTCTGTTCATCCCAGAGGACAGGCAGCAGAGGGTACTGGTAAGGCCACCTGAGCGCCCATGCTCCGGCCTGGGAAGACTGGTGTGGCCACCTGGCAAGCTGGCCACCCTCACTGGACTGCCCACCCCTCTGTCCATCTCCTGCCACCGTGGCTGAGGAGGAGCCTTGCTCCTGCAGCAGTTTCCTCTGCCCTTGAGACTTTGTCTGAGCACAGACCTTCAAAGGAACGTGCAGGAGGTCTGCACCCAGCACGTGGTGGGCAGGGTCCCCTCAGCACCTGCTGCCAGCACTTAACAAATATCCGTGGGGTAGTGAGTGAGCGAGTGGGTGCACAGGAGAGAGGGAAGGAGTAAGCAGGAGGGAGAGGCATGGATAGGTAGGTGGGTGGGTGGGTGGATGAATGAATGGGTGGAGGGGTGGATGGATGGGTGGGTGGATTGGACGGATGGGTGGATAGATGGATGGGTGGGTGGGTGGGTGCTGGATGAAGGGAGAAGGAAGGAAGGAAGGAAGGGGCAGGAGGGAGACCACGTAAATGGAGGGATAATGATCGGCCAGATGGCTGCAGGTTCGGGGCAGAGAAGGAAAAAGTGACAGTGGATACATATAGACGGCTGCCTGACCCCTGACTGGAATGGCAAGCTCGGAGTCCAGTCCCTGTGGCCCAGGCCAGGCCACTGGCCTTACCTCCGCTGCCCGGCCGGCCGGAATGCGAGAGCATGCTCAGCCGCTTCTCCAGCTGCAGGGCCTCAAGGGCTTCTTGGGCCGCTCGCTCCTCCAAGGTTGAGGAGCCCCCGGGGCCCGGGTCTGTGGCAGAGAGAAGGGTCAGTCCCAGGCCACATGCTGCCAGGATGTCCCTGGGTGCCTTTTGCAGCCACACCCTAATGCAGCACCAGTGGCCACAGCTGAGTTGGAATGGCCCCTGGCATTTTGCCAGAAGTAATGGTTGAGAGACGAGCCATTAAGATGATGTGCACCCAGGGGGGGTGGGGAGAGTTCCCGGGGAGTTCCGGTTGGTGTGTGCTGTGCCTAGGAGGGCTACGTGGGTGGCGTTTGCGGGAGTTCGGAAAATAAAGCTTGTTCCTGCTTGAGTGGCTCGTGATTTGTGCCCAGGCAGACTGCGGCAGTGGTGACCAGCTTCAGCCCCAGATCCTCCTGCACTGCAGCCCCAGCTCCGGGCACTACCCACAGAATTCCCCGTTCAGGTCCCTGTGGCCCATCCTGGGCCCCTTGGGACAGTCATCCCTCTGCCCACCTTGGGCCCCTGTGCCCATGGACAGCCCCAATCTCCAGCTTGGGTCCCCTGTCCATGAACAGCCCCCTGAGCCAGCTGTACTCCCTCGCCACCCCACCAAGGTATCAGGCTCTCTCCCAAACCACCGGCCCTCTCTGTCCTGCCGACCCCCTTCCACAAGAGATCTGCTCACCTGGTCTGCTGCACCCCTTCCCAACAGGGCTCCCCTCTGTCTCAGTGAGACGCCACTCCAGCCCTGTGGCTGCCCGCTGTGCTGGGCGCTTGGGCTGAGCCCTGCTTGGCGCCCCGGGCTCCTCACCACCTGCTGACCCTTGGCACTGCAGCTCTGCTCATGGCAGAGGCCCGGGGATTCGACCTCTCTGGCCATCACCTGTGTGTTTTCTGAACCTGGGAGGCAGGAGCCTTTTCCCACCCAGGCGGGGTGTCATCCCTCGCGGGTCCCACGTACCTGCTGCCCACAGCCAGCCCACCAAAGCCCAAGTCCCTCCTGAACCAGAACCCTGGCAGCCACAGAGCCCCATGTCCAGACTTGAGGGCACCTGGCAGACATGCTGCCTGTGAGCAGGACAGCAGGGCCTCTGGGGGAGATGCACTGTCCACTTCCAGGCCCTGAGCACACACCACTCGGGTCGGCCTGCAACCTCAGGGCAGGACACCAGCAGGTGGCGCTGCTGCACTGTCCAGGCGCGCCCCAGGGAAGCAGGAAGGGCTCTGGCCTGGGCACCCGCCCTCCTCAGCAGCTCCCCACCTGCAGCTGCTCTGGGGTGGGCAGCTCATTGTTGCCACTCCGTCCTCGTGGGAACCTCTGCTCTCCTGCCCACCGAACGGGGCAGCCGACGTGAGCTCTCTGCCCACCATGTGGCCACAGCTAGATAATGTCCCTGCTGGGGCCAGGGGAGCCAGAGCTCATCCTGCCCCGACCTGCTGGACCCTGAAGGAGCCCAACCCTGCTCTGGGCCCCTCAGTACCTGGACCATGTGGCCACTTGACCCAGCAACATCCCTGATTAGAGTCCTGCTGAAGCAGGACACCCAGCAGCAAGCAAGGAGCACGGTGGGACAAGAAGCCTGCTTAGTGCCACCCTGGTGCCCACCCTGGTGCCCACCCTGAGACCCACGCCCAGCCAAACTCCGGGCTGCTCCCGCCTCCACACGGGGCCCAGACGAGCTGTCCTCACCTGGAGCCACAGAGTCAGGTCAGCTGCCCACGAGCCAGCGACCTCAGGAAGACTCCTCGATCACCATGGGGGAGGCCTCCAAGATCACAGCCCTGTGACGGCCCAGCCAGGGGCAGCTGTGGCTAAACTGTCCCAACTACTGTGCCAGTGGCTCAGAGCCCATGGAGGAAGGATCTGCAGGTGTGATCCACACCCCAAGACACACTAGCTGAGCCCTCAGAACCCCAGGCTGCCCAGCAGTATGGTGGCACCACCCAGGCCAGGAAAGGACAGCCAACTAACTGGGTTGAGTCTGGCCCCACCCCAAGCATGGCCTCCCCATCTGACCTCACCAGGCCACACTCCCGCACACACCTGGGAGGGCTGGCCGCAGCCCGAAGGGGCCCTTGGTTGGGGAGATGCCTCTGACGATGCAGTCGAACAGGAAGCTGATCTGCTCTCCCTCGGCGGAGGACAAGAAGAAGACCCCTGCCCCTGCAGAAGGAGGACAGCGAGGCGCGGTCAGCCTGGCCCAGCACGGGGTGGGGGCACAGGGTCTGCAGACTGGGTGGGGCTGCACATCCAGTCAGAACCCACAGGACCCGGCGCCCCTGGCCTGTGAAGCCACGTCCCCAGAGCCCTGGACCTGTCCCTCTGCACCCAGGAACCCCACGCACACTTCAGACACACGTGCTGTCACGGCGGCCACAGGCTGCAGGCACCAGGCCTGAAGGGCTCCCCACAGGGCCATCCCCGGGGCACGGGGCTGTGGCTGCATCTGGGCACTGCCTGGGGACACGGCAGGGCAGCTCAGGGGCAGCCCTCTCCCAGGCCTCACTGCGCAGATGGTGCACAGTGATCCTGCACAGTCCAGGGATGCGTCCCTCCACCAAGGCCACCTCCAGCCGCCCTCTGCCACAGGCAGTTGAGTGGTCAGCTCCAGCCCTCTGTGCCTCGGTTTCCTCGAATGCACCAGAAGACCAGAGACTCCTTCCAGAGTGGTTCTGAGGTGGACGAGGCGTGTCCAGTCAGGGCTCCCTCCGGTGTCCAGGAGCGGGGCTCACATCCCAGAATGGCCACCACTGACCCCAGTCACACCAGTGGCCCTCACTTCAGCTCCTCACCCACACAGAAGGCATCTGCCCCACAGACGGCCTTCAAGTGGCCAACGCTGACCTCCCCACGGTGAGCAGCCTCCCTTCTCCCCAGCCTTGTCATAGAAAGATGCACCTGAGGTCATGGCTGTGCCTGGGCTGCCTCCCTGCCCACTCAGTAGAAGGAAGGACCCGTGCCATCAGCCTGGGGTCACTTGGGCGGAGGACCTGCTTGGAGAGGCCTGGGCAGTGAGTCAGCAGGGAGGCCCCAGGCCACGTGCCCCGCCCGGCTCGGGCGCCCAGCCGGCCAAGGGTGAATGGAATCCCTCGCTGGCCGCGTGAATGGGAGGCCAGGCTGGCGGCACCCACCTGCTGAGCCCGGCACGTGGAGCGGACACTCAGCACAGTCGGCACTGGAGAAGCCCTCCCCTGGGGCCTCTGCCCAGGGCCCAGAGAAAGGCCCCAAAGCTGCGCAGGACCAGGCAGGGGCAGTCCAGACACCTCTGTGTTCAAAGCTCTGCCTCCCAGTCGCTCTCTGCCTTCACTGAATGTGGGCCGTGAGGTCCAGGGACTTGGCCCACCCCCCAGGGCTCCCGGGCCTCTGGGTGACCATGCTAGGGTAAGCACGGGAGAGCAGCCCCCACAACTGTGGACGCTTCATCGCGTGATACCTCCAAATCAGGAGACATATAACAGTACCATTCTTGCTTTATATGAGGAGACTGAGGCCCAGAGAGAGCAAGCTACTTATACATGGTCACACAGCCCAGGTGGACGCAAGCCCAGGTCAGTGGGCCCACTGAGCAGTACCTGGCACCACAATCTTCTAGTCCTGCTCTGGGCGAGGGGCTGCTATTGACAAGCAGAGTGGCATGGGTTGAGGTGGTGCCCTCCTCGATACCCACCCAGGGGGACAATGGACTGACTCCGAAACTCTCTGATGAATAGGACTTGCGAGCTGGGCAGTGGAACAGGAACGTGCCCCAGGAGGGCAGGCCAGCAGGCCAACACAGGCCATCTCACGGGCCCACTCCCTGGCACCCTGCTCCCCCGCCACCCCACCCGCATGAGGCTCCGCCAGCCTGGCCCAGCCCTCACAGAGGGCCTGGCCTCTAGTCCCAAGCTCCCCGACAGCTGGCACAGGCAGCAGGACACTCAGTCCCCCGACTATAAAAAGCCACATTACGGAAGGGTGAGCCAGTCCTGCGTCCACTCAGCCTGCAGAGTCCCGCCCTCAGGAGATGGTCACTGGGCAGGCCCTGCGCACAGCAGCCGCCAGTCCGGGCCCCAAGTGCCCATGTGGCAGTCCCACTAGCTACCCCACCATGGCGGCAGGGTTGACTCCAGGGGCCTGGAGGACGTCCATCTCCGAGGGCCAGTCTACCTGCACCCTCAGAGCAAGGCAAGGCCTCCCAGGACAATTGCCACCAGCCACTGTGAAGCCCCCTCTCGCCACCCACCCCACAAACACGCCCAGGCTCCTGTCACCCCCACCAGGAGGCGGACTCACTCCCCTTGGCTCCTGGACTCCCGTTGACTGAGGCTCAGGTCACAGAGCGTCCGATGCCCGTCCCCAGCCCCGGCCCTTCTCGGGAAGCCAGCAGTTCACCCAGGACGCTCTGGGGACCCAGCACTTTTCCCCACAAGGCGCTTCGTCTGTCCACAGTCCCAACCCAAGGCCGACACCTGGCGGACAGGGACCACATCAGAGTGGCCCGCGTGCCCTCTGAGAACCAGCCGCCCCACGAGTGGCCGCCTACACTGCTGCAGTCACCCTGGCCCTGGCAGCCCACCGCCAGCCCGATGCCGCGGCCCGAGTGACCGAGTGACCCCAGAGTTAAGGCGGCCGTGGGGTCCACGGGCGCAAGGTGGCTGCTGCCTTGTGAAAGGTGGGGAGACAGAGCCGGGGTGGGAAGGGCCTGGACACGCGGAGCAGAGCGCCAGCCGCCCCGGCTCTGAGGCAGTTCCTTGCGGCCACAAGACGGACACCCTGCTCCAGCCACGAGGAGAGGAGCGGCCGCGGTGCTCCCTGCCGGGGGTCACGCTGCAGGGTCCGTCCCTGGCCTGAGAGCAGGTAGGGACGCTCCCCTTCTGCTGAGGAAGGCCACAGTCCCCTCCAGATGCCAGGCACAGCTTGCACTCATAATGACGATGACTCCTACCCATGTGCTTCCTTCCTGAGCACAGCACGGGAGTGCCAGCCCAAGACCCTGCCCGGCTGGGGGCCTCCGTGGACCCTGCTGACCAGGGTGGCCTGCCGGCCGCAGGAGTCAAAGGTGGGCCTGGCTCTTACTGTTCCCTGTGTCTCCCAAGGGCCTGCTCCCAGCCCATCCTCCGAAGAGGACAAGTGGCCCGCCTTGGGCAGGTGTGGGCAGGTGTGGACAGGAGGGACAGTGGGACAGGAGCCTGGGGGCCTGTGTCAGCCACGCGCAGGAGTGATGCAGGAGCTCAGAGCCCCCTTAGCCAGAGACCACCATCCAGGTACCAGGGGCCACCCCAGACACTTGGGAGGCTGAAAAGTGACCCTGGAGTGGAGCCACCCAGGGGCTGAGGTGACAGAGGGTCTTGTCAGTCCCTCAGGGGCTGGCCTGAGGGTCTGCCACATAATCATAAGGTCAGAACACAGGCTGGCGCTTTGTGGGCACAGCTCATTCCCCCAGGGTCCAGGCTAGGGAAAGAGCGAAGCCCAGAGAGCCCGAGAGGCCGGTGGATGCTCAGACCAGTCACACAGCATCTGAACCTGATGCGACTGGGCCCTGTGTCCACACCTGACCCACCCTTGAAGACGCGAGCTAGGTGCACCGCCCACACGGCCCCCGGAGGCTACACAGCCTTTCTTGGAGGGCAGGGGGACACTCGTCCTGCCCCTCAGGCCGCCTTCTGCCACAGCAGTCAGACTGCAGCCAACCGGCGCCAGGGGAGGCCACGATAGCCGGCAGGTGTCGGCACTCCCAGGAGCTGGTCCTGCTCCATGGAGCCCCGCCTGCTGCCTGCTGTGCCCAACAGGGCCTTTTGTTCCTCGAGAGGGACTGGGGGGGCTGGCCTCCCCTGCCAGAGCAGGCTCACCTAGACAGAAGCCACTTTGGGGAAGGGGCAGCCGCCACAGTGCTGTCCTGGGGCTCAGGGACAGCCTCTGGGCAGTCACAGAGACTCGGGGCAGCCATGGCCGGCCCATGTCAAACCGCCCCCTGAACACCCAGGCTGCCCTGGCCTCAGTGTCCTTGTCTGCCCAGTGGGATGGCCCAGGGGGCTCCCCCCTGGACGACAGCCAGCTCCGAAGACCCCCTGGACACTGGGCAGCTCTAGGCCTGGTGGACTCTTGAGAGCCCGGCAGAGAAGACAAACATGGGGACAAAGCAGGGGTCCAGAGCCCAGAGCCCTGAGTCAGCAGGGCCACCACTCTACCCAGATGGCCTCCTTCACAAGTGTCATTTCACGGCCAAGAGCAAGGGGCCGGGGCAGGGCTTGGTACGGCATGTTTGCACCCGCAACTGTCCCCTGCCCAAGGGCAGAGCACCAAATGGGGTGGGGGCTCCACAGGAACAAACTGTCCCTCCCAGCCCCTGTCCTGGACCAGCACCTCAGCAAGAGCCCGTCCCCCTCCGCCCGCCCTCTCCCTGCCCGTCACCGCCTGCTCAGTGTGCCTGGAGCCCCAACAGCTGCGCCGGGGTCAGCCTCACCTGCTCGCGCTGGACCACAACCAGAGCCTTCCTGGCCCCAGCCTCTTCCTCCAGACCTGTCTGCACCTGGGGCCTCCCACCTGCTGGGGCTCTTCCCTGACACCCAGACAGCCCCACGCAAGGCCCGGCCACAGCCAGCTCCCGCCCCTCGCAGCCACCCTCCCCTTGCAGTCCCCCAGCCCGTGGCCCCATGGAGACCATGAAAATGTGCTTCAGGTGTCAGAGTCACCCGTGGCCTCAGGTCTCAGATCATGACCTTATAATATGCCACCAACCGCCAAGTGACTGTGACCCTAGCAACCTGGTGCTCGGCACAGGGTCCATACTTAGAAGTGGAAGTAGATCAGTGTCCTCTTAAGTGTGTGCCCTGTCCGACCCAAGAGAACTCATCCTGGGGACCCTGTAAGGAGGAGTCAGGTAGCAAGAGCGTCCGGGTGGGATCCCCGAGGGGCAGTCACCAAGGTGCCTCTGACCACAGGCTCGGAGCAGCCTGGGATCTGCCCAGGTGGCTGGATTGTTAGCACCCCGGGGTGATGCTGGCCGTGGCTGGCTGGGCTCACGTGGTGTCGAGACCCCCGTGCAGCCCTTGCTGGGGTCCTGAATGGTCCTCTCTGAAGAACCTTCTCTCCACCCCAGTGCCTGGATCGCAGTCCCCTGTCTCCCAAGGCCCACCCTCCCCAGGGCCCACCTCTCCGCTGCCCGCCACTGAGCCTGGCTGGGGGTGTGGCCAGGAGCCTCCCTCCACCTGGGTAAACAGGTAAACAGTGGAGAAAAGTAGCCGCGGGGCCAGCGTCCCCTCTGCCCTCTGGATCGCTGTCTGGGGTGGGGGCTGGAAGGCATCGATCGTTCCTGGAGGTCACAGGGCCGGGCCGGGGCCGGGAGAGGGAGAGGATGTTAATTCTATACCCCAGGGTCTTCTAGGAGCTTCCGATGACCCCTCCTCCCTCTCCCGCTCTCTGTCTTCCAGGGACACAGATGCTATGTTTCAAATTAGAGACATGGTGTCTGAATGGTGGCCTGTAAAAGATGTGAAAGGGTCTTTGCAGATGTCATTAGGGTAAGGATCTCAAGGAGACCACCTGGACCACCCAGGTGGGCCCTAAACCCGGTGACAGAGAAGACAAAGGCAGAGGCCGTGTGACCCGGCCACAGCTCGGCAGGCTGTGAGAAGGCGGCCAGTTCCCCAGAGCCCTAAGTGAGGTCCTGCGGGCCTTGGATTTGGGACTTCTGACCCCAGACTATGAAGGTCACCGAGTTTGTGGTCACCTGCTACAGCAGCCCCAAGACATGGACAGATGCCCCAGGGCCCTCCTAGCCTGCAGGTCCTCTCCAGGATGGCCAGGTCTGCCCACGTGTGGCAGGTGACGACCCTCGGCTACCACCAGCAGCCCACGCTGCACCCACGTCTCTGCTGGGCCGAGGGAGTTTGTGGCATCTCAACCCCAGTCCACCACCAGAGCAGCCGCCAGCCTGTCCCGCTGGGAGGAAGGAGCGAGCAGAGTGGCAGGGCCCTCAGCCTGCCCTCAGAGCCACCACTGGTGACCTGCGCACTCCAGGGCTCAGCTCTCAGTGACCCATGGGTCTGAGCAAGGCCTGGAGCTGGGAGAGACAGAATCCCAAGAGTGTCGGAGCCGGGGCCAGGCCGCCCGGCACCCAGCGGCGCAGTTGCAGGCAGATTCTTGCAGCGCGGAGCTGACCCAGGGCCTTGTGCAGCACAGACATTCCCCTCAGAGTTCACCTGGTTTTCTGGAAGCCCACACGCCGGGCCTCTGCCCCGGGAGCCACTGGTCCATGCTGGGTGGGTTATGGGGGAAAGGGGCCTACCCACACCAAGAGAGAGGATTCCAAATTCTGAGGTCTAGAGGAAAAACACCCAGGGGGCCCTACTCCGTCCTGTCCAGGACCAAACAGCAGGTCTCCAAGGAAACAGGCCCCGCGCTGCCCCATGGGAGGCGCCTCACCAGCACCACCACTGACCGTGGCAGCGGATACCTGGGAACTCCACGGAGAAACAAGGACACAGTCTCCCTGCTCAGATGCTTGGAGCAGCTCCAGGAAACCCCCGTCAAGGGGCTCCCAAGGAAGAAGAGGCTGCCCCGAGTCTGAGCCATTTGGGGCCAAGCAGGCAGCACCCAGCACCACCTGCGTCCACATCTGCATTCGCTTTGCCCAGAGATGGAGGTGCTGCTACAGCCTGTGGCCAGTGAACCCTCATGGACCCAGCCGCACCGAGCCAGGTATGTGGTGCCTTACGAGTACCAGGTGAGGGCCACGCCCTTCCCACCCACCTCCCATGCCAACCACACTCCTGACGCGGCCAGGATCTACTCCCTTTGCCAAGAAGCTACGAGAGTATGAGCAGGGTGGCTGTGCACTCCAACACTCCTCCACCCAGAGGGGTGCCCATCAGGGCCCGGGAGCCCAGCTGGTGCCAGGCACACACTCACCAGGCCCCACTCCTCCCACAGAGCATGCTGACTGTGGTCACCCAGGCCCCACAGGAGGCCAGGCCCCAGGAGGCCACACCGCATGACAGCCAGCACAGACAAGCAGCCTCTCTGGAGAGGGGACGAGGGTTCTCTTCCCTCCTGCAGTGCCTGCAGGTCTGCACGTGCTGATGCATCTGCCCAACTCGGCCTGTCCCCACAGTGCCCCAGTGGGCACCTCAGGCTCTGAGTGAAGTACCCTCCCCTCAGTACCCACCACCCACTCAGCCCCTAGACCTGGTGGCCAGACGCTGGCCCTGCTTCCCCCTGGCTGGTCACTCAGCATGGATCAGGGCCCGGGTGTCCAGCCGTCACAAACCTGGGGCCCAGGCCCACCCCTTCCCACGGCCTGGCCATCCCACTGCACAGAGGACAGCTCCAGGTGGCCCAGGGGGCCAGTGGCTGATGTGTCCAGGAGGAAACTTGGTCCTCAATGTGTTTTCTGCATGTGGCACCCACGGGTGGCTCACTGGCCCTCGCAAAATGCTTCCATTAATTTTTTTTTCCCATTCAATCTGAACAGGAGGCTCTGCCGCTCGGTGACCTCACACACAGGCCAGGAATGGCTGAGACCCTGGGCCTGGCTCTGGAGACCCAGCGGCCCTCTGCTCCCTCCCCCAGGCACCACAGGAAGGAGAGCAGCCCCAGGGCCAGGCCTCCTGAGTGTGGCCCGGGGTGGATCCCCCCGGGTTGGGCCCACGCAACCACGTACTTACAGTAGCCACACCTGGTCCCGCCTTCGAAGATGAATCCACTCGGCACAGCCCCGTAGCGCCGGAGGTCAGGCAGCTTCCACTGCCCCACAACGGCCGGAGGGATGTCCCTGGCCAGGACCAGGACGTCATTGCAGAGGTGGAGGGTGGCCGGGCCGCTCTCCAGCTTGGTGCCGGGAGCCACTGTCACATGGAACCTGTGCACTGGGGCGGCAGGGGCGAAGCGCATCACCCAGGGAGGGTGGGCACGTGGCACCCAGGCCTGGGCAGCGGAGGCCCCGGCAGATGCTCTCCTGGCCAGTGGACCACCCAGCTGGGCAGCACAGGAGGCAGTGGGGCTGCCTGCCACGGCCCACCGACCTCCCCTCCCATCTTTCAGGGGCCGCCTAGGGTCCTCCCGTCCCAGCCACGCAGTCATGGCCTCAGGGGGCTCCGGGGAGGACAGGGCCAATCAGCGCGGGGTCAGGACCTGTGCGCAGCGCACCTCCCTGGAACCGCCCCGCCCTGGCAGCCATGGACTGGGAAACCTGCGCTGGAGGCCAGCCTGGCCGTGGGTGCTCAGGAGGCCACGAACCTTCCTCTGGGTGGTGGTCCCCTCTCCTCCCCTGGGGGAAGCGGGGTGCTCCTGGCCTCCCGCCACCCCAGCTGGGCCCCTCCCCTGGAAGCTCCTGAGAGGAGGACCACCGTGAGCTCCCCCCGCCTCCCTCTCTCCCCAGGCCACCCCACCTCAGAACGTAGACAGCGCCCTGAGTGACGGCCCCCTGCCTGCGGGTGCCCAGCCCTGGCCCCAGCCCACCCCATCTCCTTCCCCAGCCACAGGGTCCCCAGCTCCTCCAGGCTGTGGCCTTGACCATCCCCCGGAGCCCACCCCCCCGCCCTCTTCAGGATTCCTCTCAAGGTGTCTCCACAGGTGCCTGGGCAGCCCCCCTCCCCAGTGGGGTGGGCACTGCCCCACCCAGATAATGGGCCATGGCAGAGCCACGCCAGAACCCCACTGTGAGCTTCCTGGGAAGGCAGGGTCCTCTTGCCAGCTGCCCCAGGTCTGGCCCCAGGTCGGGCAGGGTGGGCAGCTCACGGTGGGCCTTGAAGTGTGACTGTGGTGTGTGAGAGCTGAAGTCCTGCAGAGAGCCCAGGAAGGACACCCAGGTGTGCAGACGGACGGGCAGAACCTGCCGTGGCTGACCCTGGAGGGGCTCACCTGGACGGGTGGCCCCGGTCTTGGTGTTTCAGAGAACAAGGCCTGAGAGGCTGTAGTGCTTGTCACTCGGACCTTCAGTGCCCAAGGCCCGTGCCTCGCCGGGCTGAGTCCTGGCTCTGCCATCCCCCGCCTCGCGAGGGGCCCGGCTCAGGCCTCCCCTCCACACTGCAGAGCCCAGGGCCCCAGCTCCAGGTGCCCTTTCCCAGGGTGGCCCAGCTCCGTGAACCACCTTGTGGGCAGCTGCTGCCTCAGGCACACGAGCTCACTGCCTGTCCACTGGCCACTCAGCCACCGCCCTCCTCCCTGCCCGGCCTGTTCCCACCCTGACACTGGCTCCCGGGGGGCTGGCGGCTCTGCTCTGCACAGCCCAGGCTCACATGGCCCAGGAGGAAGCGAGAGCAGGACTTTGGGAGATGATGGGTGGCAGCTTGGACCAATGGAGCTGGGCCAGGGAGCTTACAAACCCCGCAGCCCCCATAGAACCCACCCCGATCCTTGGTCTGATCACCCCCAGGCAGGGTCTGGCTCTCCGGGACCCCTCATCCAGAGCACAGAGCTCAAGGCCCAGCAGGACAACGTTTGAGGTGTCCACTAGCTTCCCTTCATTTGTGTGCAGTTCCGGGTCTTGTCTGCCCCTGCAGTCCCCATGGGAGAGGGCCCCGGTACTGTACGGGAAGCCCTCCCCGGGGCCTCCATCCGGGCACTCACCCTCACCAAGCGCATAGCGGATGCGGGCATCCCAGGCGCACATGGCCTGGCGGCTGTCGAAGCCCAGCATGACAGCCTGGGACAGGCAGACGATGGCCAGCGTGTGGACCAGACCCTCATAGGGCAGGCCAGTCTCCAGGCCACAGATGTCCTCCAGGGTCAGGCTGCTGCGCTCCCGGAGGCCCTTGGCACGGTCAGACTTGTCCTTGTAGGCCAGCATGAGCAGGCAATCTGCAGAGGAGGCAAGAGGCCATGGAGCGTCCACCAAGATGCCACTGCCCACTGCCCCCATCCTCAGCACCCCCTGGGAGGACATGGCACAGCTGGAAAGAGACTGGGGCTTAAGATGTGACCAAGAAAGCCATTCATCTACCCTGCCCCCTCCTGAATGACCAGCAAGCCCCCTCATCACTGTGGCTGGGCCTGGACTCCACCCGGATGACCACTCGGCCCAGGCCTGTGAGCCCACCCTGGCCTAGGGTTGCAGGAGCTGTGGTCCCTGACTTAGGAAGCAGGCACAGTGCCTGCCCAGCTGCATGGGCCTCCTCCCTGCTCTGAGGCCTGGGCTGCACCCTCTGGCCTGACGCGCCGACGCCTGCTTCCCCTCCATTCTCTTGGCTCCCAGGCTGTGGCCTGAGCCCAGCCCTGGGGAGGAAGAGGAGTGTCACTGGACCATGGGTCCCACCCGAGCAGCGCGGCAGGCCTCCACCTGTCCCTTGGCTGCAGGGACAGGCCTGAGTCTCACCTCCTGGCCCCTCCAGGACACTCGGGTCTCCATCGACATGTCATTGCCAACACTGCCACTGCTCAGCGTGGCCCGTGCCCACCCAGGTCCCCCACAGCTCCAGGACCCCAGGGTGCCCAGTCTTGGAGGAGGGTGTCGGCCTAGGGACCTAATGCAAACACCAAACACGTTCGCACTGACACGACCCCAAATCCCACATGAAACTCAAGGAGTCAAGCCCCTCGCCCACCTGTAGGAGAGGGGTCGGAGGTGCCCAGCCAGGACAGGGCGGTGCCGGCTCAGCCCCTGGAAGCAGACACTCCTCTTTAATAGGCCCAGCAAACCCATCTGAGACCCCAGGCCCCAGGTGATGGGGACGCACACACCGCTGCGGCAGGGTCCCCCACACAGCCCTGAGCTCCCCTACCTCTCTCCCGGCCCAGCTTCTCGAACCAGGACCAGAGACCCAGCCTGGAGCCAGGGACACCACCAGAGGCCCATGGTCAGCAAGCTTTGTCTGTGAGGGCCAGAGGGTGGCAGTCTGTGCACTGCAGGCCACATGGTCTCTGTGTCAACTACTCAAAGCTGTCCTCCTAGTGACAGAAGAGTGCAGGCCAGTGGCCCCTGTGCCCACCTGGAGGGTCACTTTCAAACACAGGCTTGTGGGCAGCGGGACTTTTGCCGCCTACTGGAGAAAGCCCAGCTACAGGGTCCAGGCACTAGCTGGGAGCTGGGCCTGGCCACTGAGGCCTCTGAGAGTCTCCACACAGGGCGGCCAGCAGCAGCCCCACCGCCAGGCCCTCAGCACAGAAGCCTGAAGGACTCGGGGCTGAAAGGCAAGTGACTGACCCCGGGCCCCCCACCCACGACTTCTGCCCTGGGCCGGTGGGCAAGGTGGACACCCAGCTGGGCTGGGAGTGAAGAAAGGCAGGAACACTGAGTGGGCCTGGCTGGGTCATTCCCCCACTCGGGCCCCAGGGCCCACCCGCGGTTCATAGCCCCTTGTGCCCTGGCTCTGTCCTGGCCTGGGCCTTCCTGCAGCCCTGAGCCGCGAAGCCCAGCTCCCACAGAGCCGTCCCAGGAGCAACACAGACAAGCCAGCACCCAGGACAATCGTCAGCAAAGTGCTCTACAAGGAGGGGGCAGGTGACCTCAGGTGGGGCAGGGAACCACCTGTGAAGGCCCAGCCCTGCAGCTCCACAGGAAACAGTGCTGTCTTAGAGGGAATGGCCAGTGCATCCCAGAGGCAGGCAGCATGGCCTCTTCAGGGCCCAAGGGCTGGGCAGCACTGGAGACAGGGAGGCAGAGTGGTGTGCAGTGCAGGCAGCTGGTCAGGGTCCTGGCTCCAGAGGGCTCCAAGGGCTCTGGGCCCAGAGGCTGGGCTGGCTGGTCTTTGAGCCTCTGTGTGGCCTGGCGTGACTGCCGCCCCAGAGCTCCTGCCCCCAGGCGAGAGGCCTGCACACACCATGGAGCTGGCCACGTTGCTCTCCCAGCCCCCTGGACAGGAGACCACAGGCCTCTAGGATGAAAGGAGATGAGGGTGAAGGATTAAGGGGTTCTGTGGATCTGCGGGGGAGGGATGCCTGGGAGGCTGCTGGGGGCCAGGATGGGGGTCTCTCCTGGATGAGAGAGGCTGAGAAACCCACTGGACACGGGGCAGCAGCTGGACAGGCGTCTGGAGATGTAAAAATAACCAGGAGTCATGAGCTCACAGAAGCCTTGCAGCCAGGGCTGGGAGCCCAGGAAGGAAGGGAGAGGCAGGGCAGTGGCCTCCCCGTGGAGAGGAACTGCAGGGTCCAGTGGCCAGCAAGGAGGCCGCAGGAAGGCAGAGAGCAGCGGCTGCTGGACCCGCACCCTGGAGGTCAGAGTGACCTTGAGGCAGTGTCCCTGGAGGAGACTGAGGGACCCTGCTGAGCACATAGCAGCCTGGGGCGGCCCAAGAGGCCCGGCAGGGGCCGAGGGGCGCTGACCTGGTTGGCTTGCTGGGGCCTCCCAGGACACACAGGGCAGGCCAAGGGCACTCAGGAAAGCAGCACCCTACCTGTGTTCACAGTGGTCACCCCCGACACCACAGCTGGCACCACAAGAGAGCATGGAGGTCACCAGGAGTGGCTGGGGCTCAGCACGCAGGCCCACAGCCCCGGCTCCCCCCTCTCCGTCCACCCTCCCCAGACCCTGGGCGTCGGCTGGCCGAGCGCGGCTCTGAGCTGCTCAAGAAAGATGCTGGGCAGGGGCGCAGCTCTCCTGGCAGGCCCACGGGGGCTGCGCCAGATTCTGGGCCCAGGAGATCCTGTTCCTGGGATGGGGCTTGCAGGAAGCTGGGCCCTGGGTGTGGCCCTGTTTTGTGATGGTACCATGGGAAAGGAAGTCTGGCCGCCACCTCACCCCTCCTTAGCCAGGGGCTGAGATGTCACCTCATCCCCACAGGGAAGGGGGCGGAGTACAAATGACCCAAAGCAAGAGTCACCAACTTCCGAAGTGACCCCAGGGCCCACAGGGCCTAACACCTGGAGGAACTGGTCAGCAGAGTAGCCAGCTGCACAGGCCAGCAGTCCCAGGCAGGGATCAGGCAGCACAGGTGGCCCCAGGGCTCCGGGCACACATCCCGAAGCTACCTGTGCCTGTACCTGGGTTCAAGGTCTTGTATCACCAAGACCATGTAAACGGGGGTCCTCCTGCAGGCAGGGCTCCCCAAGCTCTCTGCCCAAGCCCCAACCCCTGCAGACTGCTGGTGGGTGGGCCAAGCTGGGGACCCAGCCCTCCAGGAGCAGAACAACCCAGCCCTCCAGGCAGCCAACAACCAGGGGCGACCCACTCCCTGGCTGCCCACTCCCCGGCTGCCCAGCCACTCCCACAGGCCCATGTCCTGGGCCAGATCCTTCAGGTTGAGAAACCTCCCGGTCTATAATGCCCCAAAGGCACCGCCAGCTCCGGGACTCAGGTCCCTCGTGGGGGCTTCCCAAGCAAGAGGGAGCACCAGGAGCGGCTCACGGGCAGCCTCGGAGTGGTGCCCCTCCGGGTCCCAGCCTCAGTGAGGCCCAGCCAGGACTGAACCCCGATGCCCTCGCCTAGAGGCCCAGAGAGGGGAGTGGACGGCCCTGCGCCGGGAGGCAACCCCAGCCTTGAGGAGCCCAGTCCCATGAAGACTCCCTAGGGTGCTGCGGCAAGGGTCCTGCGCTGCCCACCTGCTAGCCTGTCCTTCCTTCTCGGCGGCCATGGGGCTTGGCTCTTGCAGACCCGCCCACTAGGCCTCATTAGGAGAGGCCCCCCAGGCTGCAGTGGAGAGGCCTGAGCCCACCACGCACGCACCTCCTGCCTGACGCGGCTCGTGGCCCTCAGAGGGGGGTCAGCATTTTAAATCCAAGGACCTGGATGCCTGTGACAGAGGACGCCAGCCGTCCTCTCCCCAGCACCCAGGATCAGGGGTCTGGAACCTGGGGAGGGGCTGGGTGGGGTGGGGAGAGCCCTTCTCCAGTGAGGACTGTGGACTGGACAAGATGGGGGGGCCGCAGGCCACCAGTTGGGGGGCGGTTGGGGGAGGGGCAGCCGTAGAAACCAGAGCCAGGCTCCAGGACGACAGGACAGTGGCAGGGCAGACGTCCATCCACAGAGGCACCACCAGTGCCCACCCTGTCCCCAGCCTGGCTGCACAGTCCCCTGGGGACAACTGACCCGGCCCTGGTTCCCTTTCCTGTCCTGCCTGCCTCGGGCACTCTGCCTCCTGCTGCTGGGCACATGGAGAACCCAGAGGTGCCGACGCGCTGTCCACCCCCGGTGCCCCGCAGGCCAGCCGGCCCTGCCCCCTGGGAAGCTCCTGTGCTCTGAAGAGGCACCGCTGCACCCCAGGGTGCTCTCCCACTGGGCACCTGGGACAGGGCTTTCTGGCCTCTCGGGGTACCCAGCGCAGGCACTGGCCCACCCTGTCCAGAGAAGCACCATCCCCACAGCAGGCCCCAGCTTCTGACCACAGCTGGCCAAGGCCTTCATGCCTGCCCACTGTGGCCTTTGCCCCCACAGCCCTCCATACCCGGTCTGCATGCTGGGGTCTTTACTCCCCAGATCCCCACTCTCCTGTACCAGGGTCAGGGCAGGGCAAAGGCAGGACAGCACAGGGTCAGGGCAGGGTTAAGGTCAGAGCAGCACAGGATCAGGACAGCACAGGGTCAGGACAGCTCAGGGTCAGGACAGCACAGGGACCAACACAGCAGGGTCAGGACAGAGCAGAGTCAGGGCAGGGCAGGGTCAGGGCAGCGCACGGTCAGGACAGGGCAGGGTCAGGACAGAACAGGGTCAGGACAGAGCAGGGTCAGGGCAGGGCAGGGTCAGGGCAGAGCACGATCAGGACAGGGCAGGGTCAGGACAGAACAGGGTCAGGACAGAGCAGGGTCAGGGCAGGGCAGGGTCAGGGCAGGGCAGGGTCAGGGCAGGGCAGGGTCATGGCAGGGCAGGGTCAGGACAGGGCAGGGTCAGGACAGAGCAGGGTCAGGGCAGGGCAGGGTCAGGGCAGAGCACGGTCAGGACAGAACAGGGTCAGGACAGGGCAGGGTCAGGACAGAGCAGGGTCAGGGCAGGGCAGGGTCAGGGCAGCGCACGGTCAGGGCAGGGCAGGGTCAGGGCAGCGCACGGTCAGGACAGGGCAGGGTCAGGACAGAACAGGGTCATGGCAGGGCAGGGTCAGGACAGAGCACGGTCAGGACAGGGCAGGGTCAGGACAGGGCAGGGTCAGGACAGGGCAGGGTCAGGGCAGCACAGATCAGGACAGCACAGGGTCAGGACAGCTCAGGGTCAGGACAGAGCAGGGTCAGGACAGAGCATGGTCAGGACAGGGCAGGGTCAGGACAGCACAGGGTCATGGCAGGGCAGGGTCAGGACAGAGCAGGGTCAGGACAGGGCAGGGTCAGGACAGGGCATGGTCAGAACAGGGCAGGGTCAGGGCAGCACAGGGTCAGGACAGAGCACGGTCAGGACAGAGCACGGTCAGGACAGGGCAGGGTCAGGACAGGGCAGGGTCAGGACAAGGCAGGGTCAGGACGGGCAGGGTCAGGACAGCTCAGGGTCAGGATAGGGCATGGTCAGGACAGGGCAGGGTCAGGACAGAACAGGGTCAGGACAGGGCAGGGTCAGGGCAGAGCACGATCAGGACAGAACAGGGTCAGGACAGGGCAGGGTCAGGGCAGAGCAGGGTCAGGACAGGGCAGGGTCAGGGCAGAGCAGGGTCAGGACAGGGCAGGGTCAGGACAGGGCAGGGTCAGGGCAGAGCAGGGTCAGGGCAGGGCAGGGTCAGGGCAGGGCAGGGTCAGGATTTGAAAGACTTAAGAAACAAGAAGCCCGTGGAGCTGGAGCCCCTTGGAAAGGGGGCTGAGGCCCAGGCAGGAAGTGACCGTCCACAAAACCAGCCTGCCCCCTCTGCAAGCATCCCCTTCCAGGGAGGAGAGATACCACGGTGTCCTGGAAGACCCTCTGGCCACACGTGTGGCGGACGCACGCCCCCGCCAGCCCCCCACAGACCCGCAGCCTGGGCGGCTCCAGGGCACCTGTCTCCCGGGACAGCTGCAGCCGCGCCCTCGAGAGCGAGCCGAGCGGGCGCAGAGTGGCCGGCCACGGGGGCTCCGCCTGCTCCCCCCACTAGGGGCGCGGGCTGCGAGCGGGACCATCCCTTCTCCCCAGCGGCCCGTGCCCCCCAAATACGGTCAAGCCGCTTTCCTGGGACACAGCAGGGCTCTTCCCACCTGGCCTGGCCCCTGGGAAGGAGGGGGACGTGGGCCCGGGCTCTGCTCTGAGCGCTCCCACCGGTGCAGTCCCGCGCAGACCCGGGCGCAGGGACGGTGCCCTGCGGGGCGTCCTTGCCGCTGAGGGAGGCTACGGGTTTTTTCCCCTGGCTGCTCTGGGGCTAGGGCCTTCCGGGCCACCCGGGGCGCCCAGGCTGCAGGTCCTGGCGGCCCAGCGTCGCGCGCCACTCTCCGGTTACCGCCAGGCTGGGTTTCAGGGACCGCGACTCGGCGCCTGCGGGGATGAGGCCCGCCGCCCGCTCACCTGCCACCGGCGACGGCTTGCGCAGTACGAGCCACCTACTCTTCCACTGCGGGGACAAGGACAGCGTGAGCGGCCGCCCATGCGCGCCCCGCCCCGCGCCCCCGCCGCTTCCCGACCTTCTTGCCGTCCCGCAGCTTGACCTGGCCCTCCACCAGCGCCGCCTCGGTCATCTTCTGTCATGGTTCCGCCGCCCGCCGCGCCCTCTCCCCGCGCCTTGGGCGCTGGAGCCCAGGGTCACTTTCAAAATAGCTCGGGAGGGCCTGGGCTGGGCCAGGAGGGCGGGCCTCGGCGCCGCGGGCGGGGCAGCCAGGGACCTGGGGCGGCGGCGGCGCCGGCTCCTGCTGCCAGGTGGAAGGAGCCTGTGGCACGTAGCCTGGGCGGCTCCCCACCCCGCTGACCTCTGCCCCTGGTTCCTGCCCACCGGCAGTGTGGCCACCTGCAGTCACTTGAGGCAGCCCCAGGCAAGACGGTGTGTGGGACTTCCCTTCCAAACACAGAGCGGGCATCGTCCTCGGGAAGCAGGCTCCCAAGTCTGTCTGCAGCCACTCTGGTGTCACCACTGTGCCTCCCCTCCCCAGCCCAGGGCATCACCAGACACTCCTAAGGACAGAATGACCACGGGCCCCGCGGCCCAGGACACTCCCCTACCCTGGGCCTCCCCCGCGCCCAGAGAACCCTGCCCAGACAGAACCCTGTTCCATTCATGCTCTCTGCACAGCAAGCCCAGGGGCTAGGTGCGTGGTGGTTAGGGGTGCAGGGGCTCTCTGGTTACCTGTCCCTCCATCCACTCTAGTCCCAAGTGACTCAGGCTTCAGGCAGTGTGTACCTGGTGCAGGTGACTGCCAGGTGGTGGGTGGGACCAGGACCCACCCTGCCACTTCAGTGCCCCCAGCCTGTGTGTCTGGTCTCCCCTGGTCCCTGTCCAAGAACTGGACCCACCAAAGGCTGCCCTGCACCCACCCCCAGCACAGAAGGACAGAGAGAAGCCACACTGCTCCGTAAAGACCCTTCCCTCAGCGCCCCCGCTGGCCACCTGGCCTCTCTGCTCCCGGGTTTCCTGTCCCCCAGGCCAGCAGCTCTAGAGGGCTGGCCTGGTTCTGCTGGAGCCCATGTGCTTTGGGGACCTGGCGGGTCGGTGCCGGGGGACTCCGCATCTGTGAGCCAGCCCCAAGGCCAAGGACTCCAGGACACCAGGTGTCAGGGAACAGCCCGGGGGCGGGGAGGCTCCCAGAGAAGCAGAGAGGCCGGGTCCATACGCAGGCCGAGGCAGTGGTCTGGTAGGAAGGAGGTGAGGGTGACAGTGGCCTACCAAGGGCATGTGAGTCTTGGTGTCGCCCGTCCAGACACCGCAGTCTGGGAAACGGGCTCACGGCCAGGACTGACCCACTTCTGCCCACCCCAGAGCTGGGCTCAGCCCTGGGTGACCCTCCTTGTCACCCCTGGGGATCTGAGAGAGCAGGTCTCAGGTGAGCGTAGGGCTGGTTCTGATGCCACCCAGGGGTCTTGTTGGGGCCTAATGCAGGGAGGGGGTCTCAGACCCAGGAAGCGCCCTGCACCCCCATCACCTGTGCACCCCAGTCACCAGCACCCCAGGGAGCGCTTGCTGACCACAGAGTTCCATTCATGCTCTCTGCACAGCAGGCCCAGGGGCTAGCCCAGGACAGCCCTAGGCCTGCAGGGCCAGCTGCCGGACGGGGGCTGTAGCCACGGACACATCCGCTGCCGGGCGCCTGGCACTTGCTCTTCCCTGCAGGGAGGGGCGGCGGCTGCTGCATTCCCAAGTGCTGGCCCTGGCCCAGGCCCCAGCCACGCCTGGCAGCTGCACCTGCTGTGCCCTGGCCCCGGAAATGCAGGCACCGTGGGGACAGAGCCCCCTCCCCCACTCCGTGTGGCCCAGAGGACAGCGCTGTGGTGCCAGGGCTCTGCCAAGCAACCTGCTAGGAGGAGCAAGAGGGCTGGCCCCTTTCCCTGGGGGCCAAGGTCTCCGCGACCCTGACTTGGCTCCTGCCCAGCTGGCCCCGGCTGTCGGAGCGAGGCCTGGTGCCCGTGGTGCAGCCCTCCTGCCCCAGGAGCTGGCTGGCAGGTGTCGGGCCTCTGGAACCGCAGAGGGCAAGCCAGAGAGATGCCGCTTCAGGAAGGGGACAGCAAAAACGCAGGGTCACACCCTGAGACAGGATGACCGCCCAGCCCTGCACACTGCGCAGAGGCTAATGGCGGTGATCACCGTGCTTCCTGAGCCCACAGCCACGGCGCCACTGCCAGGCGCTACAGATGGGGACATTGCCACCAAGACCACGGCGACAGGGCGCTGCGGCCCTCCATTGGCTCTGCAGCCATGGAACTCCCCGGACCCTGGTCCTCCAGCCTCACCTGGCCACGGCTGCCTCCCCTGGGCTGACGTTGCCACCATGAGCCCAGGGACAGCGCATATTGAGAGTCTTCCAGAGTCACATGGTTTCACACACACGAGGAGGATCGGGAGGACCAGGCTAGGCTGCTGTGCGGGCATCTCCAGCTGACCAGGGCAGGCACTGTGCCCCTGTCCACCCACTTGCTTGCCCTTCCTTGGGCAGGGCCATGTGAACGGCTTTGGCCAGTGGAGAGTGGGCAGAAATGATGACCACCACTTCCACACCTGGCCATGAGACACCCCGTGCCATTGTCCACTCTCCCCTGGTCACCTAGTGAGATGAAGAATGACCAGTGGCCCCCCACCAAAAAAACTAAACCCCATCTGTCAGTGCTCTGGCCTCAGCATGAGTGCAAGGGTGCCGCAGGCCTGAGTGGACTCCGGCCCACAGCCTGGCACCTGCTGGGACGACAAGGACCCCTGAGCCCCTCCCTCCTGCACCTGTGAGACGGCTGCAGAAGGACACAGCAGGGAGCAGCCTGCAGCAGCTTGCTGCACCCACACTCACCAGCACCCCAGTGGCCTCCAGCCCCCGACAAACCCCTGCTCTTTTCTGCTATGACAACCACTATGGCTGGGTGGACGGTCCTCTGAAGGCCTGCTTCCCGGCCTGGGCACTGCTGGGTGTGGTGGACCTTTTTAATTTAGTATTTTACTGGTGCATATTGAGTATGCAGAGCAACGTGTGGGCGTCACTGTGGTCACTCTGCACACATGGAGCACAGTCCAACCAGGTTCACTGCCCACCCCCTGCCTGGGCCTGGCTTCTGCTCCAGGAGCCCCCCTTTGCCCTCCAGCTCCACACGGCCCTGGGACCTTTAGGTGCAGGTCTCAGGGTCACTGGGACGCAGCCCCTGCCTCCCCTTTTGTGTCTCAGCCAGGAGGCGAGTGGCTCTCCCACACTGGCACCACCACAGGCTCAAGGCCAACAGACCCAATCAGCATCCACTGGAAACCAAGCCCCGAGCTATGTTCCTGAGCGTCAGAGCAACAGCAGCCAGCCTGGCGGGGCCGCGCCCCCGTGGGGTCCAGGTGTGGAGCCAGCCTCAGAACTCGGGCGGCAGTGTTTGGGGAGGTAGGAGGGGAGGGGAGGCCGTGAGCACAGGCCGCGTAGCCTTAGTGACTTCATAAGGAGAGGAAGAAGAGACCCTGCGGCAGTCGCCCATCTCGCTGGGGGAGGCCCTGCCTCACCAGCTGCTGAGCTGCTGCCAGGACACTGAGCTAAATAAACCTCTCTTATTCAAAAATTTACCGGGTCTCGGGAATCAGTGACAGCGACAGAAAACAGCCTAAGACAACATAAACAACTTTATGGTAATACATGTGAAAAATGAGACAAATTCATAAAAATATGACTTCCTTTAACTAGCTCAAGAAGAAATGAAATCCCCAGCCGTCACTGTTTCCATAGTGCCATGGTCCCAGAACTCCTACCAGCTCCGAATGAGTAGCTACCGACATCCTGTAAAGAGAATGCCAGGCAGGAAACTGCATGGTGCCTTCCAGTGTCCAGAGGACCCTCAGCCTCACACAGAATCGCCAAGGATTTGCTTAAGAAAGGGAAACTCTCAGTCTTATTACATGAGCCTGGTGACAGTAACTCCAAGAATGTAAGAGTGTAGGTCACTCTCACTCCTAAACGCAAATGCAAACCCCCAAACAAAACACAGGCAGATTTAAGAAGTGGGAAAAAATGATGCTTCCTGTGTCCTCCAGGGCCCCAGTGGGCTGGCGCATGGAGGGACTGTCAAAGAGGCTTTTCAACAAAGGCATGGTCAGGTGGGCCACAGGGACAGCTTAGTGACCTTGGGCAGTCATGAAGAGAAGCAGGCGCCTCTGCCCGACCTGAAGACTGGCCGTACCAGGACGCTGGGGGAGGCCACTAGTCTGGAGAACAGCAGTGAGGGACACGGCCAGACCGGGCACTCGTCTGCTGGGGCTGCTGCAGTGACATGTGGGTGGAGGGTTTCCAGATCTAGAGGCTGGGCTCCGGGTGTCCAGGCTCATCGCAGAGGCAGCCCCGGGTCTGGGCCTGCACAGTGCCACCTCCTTCCTACACCCTCCAGGGACTCCTCCATAGTGTCTGTGTCCCAATCCCCTCTCCTTAGGAGGTCACCAGTGGGACTGGATGAGGACCACCCTGGTGACCTCATTTCTGTAAAGACTACCTCCAAACATAGGCCCAGTCAGTGGCCTTGGGACCAGATGATGGCACATGATCCCAGGGCCCAGTCCAGCCCCAACACCGAGGGCACAGGAAACATCTCCTCTGACCTCCTGCTGGCTCCCCAGGGCCCCCCGGACACAGAGGCTATAGCCCCCTGGCACTGGTGCTGGTCAGTCCCAAGGCCCAGTCGCAGGGAGACATCAAGTGGATGCTGATTGGGTCCCTGGCATTGGGCCTGTGGTGGCATCAGTGTGGGAGAGCCACTCACCACTGGGAAGTCACCTGCCTCAGCCCACTCGGCTTGACTGGAGGACAGCAGTCACGGCAGGAGAGCACCCTGTGGGCAGGAGCACCCACTGTGCAGCTTCTGGGAGCACCATGCTCACCCTCATCACTATGGTTGCCGCCAGGACTGTGGCCAACCTGTGGTGGCGGGGTCACCCGCCGCCCATGTTCATCAGCCCAGGAGGCCCAGGCCCCAAGACTGGCCCCGCTGCTGCCCTCCCAGGGCCAGCGCTCTCCCTCGCTCAGACTCTGACTTCCAGGGCAGTGAACGTCCAGCCCCCTGAGGCCTCAGCAGAGGGCTTGCTCCT